CGACTGGTGCCCATCAGCAGCCGGTCTACCAAGCCGGAGTCCTCGCGGGCGAACAGCACAGGGCTGCCCTCTGGTGTCGTGACAACGTATTTATTGTTGGCGAAGTGCGTCACTTTTTGACGGACGCAGAATTCGCTCATTCCGCCGAGCTGTTTAAGACCTGAAGCAATAGCAAGAGGCTGTAAGGTAAAACCGGTTCACGTCGTCTTTAACAGACGTAACAGAACGGAACAGTGTTAATAGAATGCATCCTTAAGTTTTTAAACTGGGTAAGTTACAGCGGTCTCTTTACATCTTCTACTTTCACAGTACCTACTGATTGTCAGTTGGACCGCATCCGCTCTTAGTTAATTATAACATTTTGTGGATCAAATATTTAGACGTGAGCTGAGATATATTTATCATTTGCATGCCTCTGCCTCATAAGCTCCAGTATTTATCTCGCGGATTGCGCACGTGCGCTGTTCATTTGCAATATTTTTAACGAGATGTCTTAACAAACTTTCGAGATGTCTGAGATAAGGGTTAGTGAACATGGTGGTTTTAATGGATTTTAAATTATAAAATAATAGAATAGAATTACCGAGTGGTATGTCCTCGGACGACATTTCTTGTATCTTCAAAGATCGCAGTTCTAGTGATGTCAAGTGACGAAGTCACAAACATCAACATTCACTTCACAATAAAATCAACATCAAGAGGTTACGATCAACAAACTATCAGAGAGATCGGATAGAGACAACTTTGCCGTTTAGAACTAGATACTAAAAAGTATAATAAAAAGTTATTAAAATCCTTTACAAAAATATTAACTCTGCTGGAAATATCCTGCTAGACAAGGGCGTTAAATAAATTAGAAAGTACAATAATTTTAAAGGCAATTTTAGCAAATTATCTTTTTTATCAGCAATTATTTGTTCGTATGCAAATATACAAACTAGTATCTACAATATAAGCCACTATAATTTACGAAATTTAAGGTGTTTTACACCATTATCAACATGTAAGGGTAGGTAAACATGAGGACGGTGACCTTCCCGCGACACGCCGATCCCATTAAATTACCCCGAAACCACTCTACACAAATTTGCACAAAACAATGTCGCTCTGTCTTTTCAAGAAATTCACTAAAACAATCTTCCTAACAGTTTAGATAACGAAGATAGTCTTCCTTGGAGCTTAAAACCTTAACATCAAAGTTTACCGACAACTAAAAGTAATATATAAATCACGTCTGATATTACTTCTTTAATTAAATAAAATATTGCATGATAATTTATTGATGAAGCTTGTGTTGACTAACCGAACAAATTTAATCAAATTTCGGGTTCGAATTCGCTTCCAATGTCTTATGCTTCACAATTCGTGCGTTAAACCATCGGCTATTTATCGTCTACTCTTATCTATTCGTACTGAAGATTGTACGATCTTAAGTACCCTTATAAGTTAATAAACACAAACCGGTTTCGACCTCGTAACAGCAAAAAATCGATATAAAACAATAACAAACAATATAACCGTAACTTAATTTTTAGAGTAGTAAAACTTTGTTATTGTACAGCTATTTAAGTAATGATAAGAATAACCATCAAACCAGGAACTCCGCAGTATACAATATAAGTAAAAAATCTACTGTCCAAAATGCAAAACGCGATTTAATCGACCGACTGGCGAGCGATACGAAACGCGACTGCCCTGGACTGGACGAAACAAACACAAAACTACGCACTGTGCTTTGCTGTGCTGTGTATGATATGTACTGTACATTTGTCATTCACAGACTAGACACTATAAAACAAATTAATTTAAAGTCTGGTCGCGACCGCCATAAACATTCGTGACGTGATAGCGTGGGAGAATGCCTGTCAATTAATTTATAGTGTTTTTAAATAAAATTATTTGGAGTAATAATTGAGTCTAGTTGCTGCTAATGAAATGTCTGTGCTACTCTCTGAGATATTCTGTTTATGGTGCAATATTCACTTTGTTAAATTTCTTTTCTAATGTGAAAAAATCAAATAGGATTTTGCGGAATAAATAAGAAGCCAATATTAACTACGGTAACACTGATATTCATAATCTTGGTTTTCCTCAACATCACAGGTTGTAAATGGAGGTTTTGAGCTATTGGCACTTCAAACTAAGAAATACTAATCGACATATATTTTTTTGATAAAATTTTAATATGCTCTGCTAGCTAATCTCAACTGAAAATATTGAGAACATATGCAACATTGCGGTTTAATAAAATATTTTTGGTATATTCGAATTTTCATATGAGTTGGATCACATTTAGAATTAAGAGAAACGCATCATTTGAAATTATTACTATGCTTGAATAACGTTCATGTTTCGAGTAGTTGTCTGACGTCGAAAAAGTATCAATCAATTACTGTTATCAATTTATATTGAAGGTCAGGTGTCCAACAAACATAGAAGCAGACAGACATTGTTTCGGCGTAACATTTCCCGCCAGGCGTCTGCGTGTGGGAGGATTAATATAAGTATATTTATCTAGTAATAACAAAACGTCTAATAATTTGGCAGCTCCAACATTTACTGAATGATTCATATTTTTTTCATTCAACATGTTGTTAACGTTTCCTGTTCGGATTGCGTCAGTTTAGTGAAACTATATCACTCTGGTGTACCTCAAAAGAAACAGTAGAAAGGAAACAACTTATATTACTAATTACCTGACAATAACCCGAGCGGTATAAGTTTGGATTTTTTTATGTAATCTCATAGTACAGCTAAAATCTACCAACATTCCATCTTAAGAGCTACACTTGTTAGAACGTTTTGTATGCATTTAGACTACTCGGAACAATTATCAATAGGTGGATTTTAAATGTGTATCTAAATAAAGGGCGGTCGGTACATGGCTAATTGATTTTTATTATAATCCATTTGATGCATCTTTGTTATTTTTGAGAAATTTGTCTTGATGCAACAAACTGATTTTTTTTCTGTAATTGGAACACCGCGATTTTCCGCGAGTGTACCTACTGGTAATATTACTTTTAGTCTGACGACTACAACTGCAATAGTAGAGCAGTTAAGATAATAGTGATACATACCTCATGGCATGTATTATTTTAAAGAAAGCGCTTTTAGGAACTTTTTATAATAAAAAACGTAAGATTTTTATTGTAATTTATTAAATTCAATTACCAAAACAAAATCAAATTAACAACTATCAGTCTCACCAATTTGCATTTTGAGTTAAATTATTATTTTAAAAAAACTACACTCGAATCGAACTCACTTTATAATTATTAGTTGGTACTTTAATACAATTTTCCCATTCACGTCGAATAAAAATGTTTTTTTCATGAAGAAAAAAATTTTTCACATGTACACGACGATAGGTGTAATATAAATAGAGTTTACACAACCAAATACTCCAAAACTCAAAATACGCGCTAGCCGTGGAGCTGCGGAAACCATATCCCTCAACTACTATTACTACTCCAAAACCAAAAGAATGCTACAACCTAATAAGCCAATTAATCTTTTTTGTTGTCCACCGAGCCGGATTTTTCCTGTATGGGGATCTTCCTCTCTTCCAGGGCCTCGGCGCGGAAGGCAATCACCTTCAGTTTTCCCTTGTCCAGATGGCACTCGACTCGCTCCGGCGGGAAGCCCTCGGGTAGCAAAAACCGTCGTTCGAAGTGACTTCGTGTCCACCCGTCCTCGCGTTTCACCTCCTTTTTACCTTCCACCATTATCTCGTTGCCCACAGTCTTGACAACGATTTGCTCAGGCGTGAAGTTTTGTACGTCCAGGTGCACCTCCACCTTCTTACCGTCGACTTTCACCTCGGCATCCGAGTAGATTCCTTCTATCCCATGATACTCCTTCTCGATTGCCGGCGTCAGCTGTTTCATGTACTTTACCGGGTCTCGGAAGAACGGATCGCGAGAGAATATATTGTACGGATCCTCCAGCACCCTCATAACTGGATCTCGGTACGCCAAGTTTCTCAGATGCCTCAACCAATACGGCATTAGTGACATGTTGATATTGCGCAGCTTTGAAACGCTCTTCAAATGTTTGTTTACTCACTGACGCGCTGTTGTGACAGACGGCCCTTATATAGTTTCTCTAAACGAGTCATCTATCGTCGAGAATGGGCATGAACAATCGCGAACATTCCGCTTGGAATATAAGCTTTTAAAACTACGCCATCTATTGTCTAACGTGAACATTAAAAAAATACAAAACAGTAAGGAAGAATCAAAATTACAATAAAAAAACATATATCGGTTTATTTATAATTTAAACATTTTATTAATAATTTTAAATAAAACACGGGTGACATTAGATTAGTTTTACCTACTTCTAGAATTTGGTATTGTCCTGACATCTAGTGACGAAAAGTAATATCTAAGTTTAACTTTTCGTCACTAGATGTCCGAAATCACCAGAAAACTCTTGAATATTTTCAGTTTTTTACTTCATTACGTATTCATGACTTCGTTTTGCTCTTGTAATGAATTTTAATTTTAAAAAAGGCATACAAACAAAATCGTGACTACAGACATTCTAATGAGATCTTATGAATACTTATTATAGCGCAATCCAAGATGCAATATGGAAAAAGTTTGCGCAACAGGCGCGTGAAGATGATGAAATTCTTAACTTCGAGTGTGATCGACTTTCAATGTGACTATTTTACTTTAGGTAAAAGTACTTAAATAAAACAACTCTGAACAAATTATACGATAAAATATTATTGTTTTGTGTTGCTCGTTTTTTGTGAAATATTCTGGATATTTATTATAACCTAGGTTTCGAAGACTTTTATCAACTTCATCCAAATTTACAACAAAATTGAGACTCGTAAAAAAGTAACATCCTATGACCTAAGAGTGACTTACTTCTTACTAATATATTAATGCGAATGTTTAGATGGATGGCTGGATGTTTGTAGCCTAAACAGAACAGATCTAGATGAAATTTGACACAAATACAGAGAATAGTCTGAAATAACACATAGGCTACTTACTTTGTTTTTCTTTTTTATTCCACGAGGATGGAGTCGCGGGCGATAGTTGTAGATAATGTTATGAACGATTAATCAACTTTACAGACAACTGCATTTCCATTCCCAAAGATGTATTTCGTTTCTCATAGTTCATGAACAAACCCTCTTTAAAAAGGGATATGATGGATGAAAGTAATCACAAGTATGTTTAAATCATGGTGATCTGTACCATATTAACTGATTAAAAAATTCTTTTTTATAACCGGGTTTTAAATATTACAGGAAATATTACGTATAAAAAGTAAGAGCATTTATGTCAATTTCTTTCGTCAATTCATACCCTTCGCCACCGAAAGGCTTAATCAACCACACTAGCTTGCCGTAATTTTTTTTTCATTAAATGGGAGCTTATATGGTGAATCAAAATCAATTCTGACTACAATCTGTTACAAATGTGCAGTTGTAATTAGCGTAGTATCGGAGTGCGTCAAACATACGTCAATTCATTAACAATGAGATTATATTTTCGAATTTTCATTCGAATCACCGATCTGTTTGCAGACACATTACCGGTGTAGGAAAACTAGCTTTCAGACTGCAGCATAATCCTTAATAAAACGTGCCATGATTACTTACTTCTTATTAATATTTATTTTGTTGTAACAAAAGGAATTCTACAAAATACTCCCTTCTTTGATGTTTTTGTCATTCTTTTTAAATTTTTCAATGAACATGCCACACACGCGTGTTTAAACTATTGATGTATAGGGTTGCCACCTCTTTAGATTTGATAACAATACTTCGGGATTACAAGGTGTATAAGCTAAGTGCGTATGCTACAAGTCTAACGTAGACATTAGATAGATTTCAGGTCAAAGTGCCTGGCAGTGGCTGGTGTAAAACAAGTCAGTTTTAGTTTCTTTTGCGTCGTCCACGGGATCTATGTATATTGAATGTTGCCAGCCCTACTGATGCTGGGTAGACCTCATCACAAAACTGCCGGGTGTCGACAAACACCTCGTGATTTACTTATTACAATCACAAACAGAAAAATCTGCTTCCAATAAAACTATTTTTAAACATTTCCTTATAGTTCAATGTTTGATCACTGAAATAATATTTTTTTCTAAAAACCTAAGACACGTATATAACAAATGAATTAAAATCATGGTTTTTCGACTTAAAAAACAGAGTACAAGACAAAAGTTCAAACACTTCAAATATTTCGTTCTTTAAAGCTTTCGAGCTTGCATCACTTGATGTAAACTTATAAGTCGTCTGAAGTTACCTCCATCGATAAAAATATCATTTGTCATAAAAGTACCATAGGGATAAATGAAAATAAAATCAAAATAACTGATAAAGTAACATAATCTATCAATCCAATTTACAAAGATGTCAGAACTCATTTCAATAAAGATCGATAGAAATTATGTATTTACTTTAGATTTATTTTTTACATTTACGTAATGATTGCACTTATGCAAATCCACGTGTAATAAGAAAAATTCTACATCTGGTTCCGCAGCTTTGTATAATTGTAATTTATTATTGATTGGAAACGAAGTTCCTAAGAAGTTTGTAAAAATGAAAAGATATTTCTCCTTATTTTCTTTTTAATTAACGGCATAGAAAAATAAATGTTGATCTGGGGAGACTATTTTAAAAGCAGTGTAATATTTTGTTAAAAGGTAATACTGCTCAATCAATGATTACCGAACGTACTTTTTTTTTAGAAAAATTTAATGTTCAACATTTGTTGCATAAAGTAATGTATTATTTAATATCTTAAAAGTGCCTGTGGGTATAATTTTCGCCCAATTCCATAACGAACCCTTTACACAGTCATCCAGTTCAAACAAGCTGTTCAAACACCGTGGACTCGGTAACGAGCCCTAACGACCAATTTATATTTAACAATTTCATTACTGTCTCGCAAAACGCGTCACTAAACGTCCGTTACTCTATGGTGGGGGCAATTTTTTATCTGTTATAAATTCTCGAAAAACGTCAGTTGAAACATATTTTTTTGCCGCGCATTTTCGAGACACATTTAATAAAAAGTGTAAAAATGGAATTTAAAGTATTAATTTTGGTCACATTAATTTGTGCTGCAAGTTGTTTGCCGCTCGGTAGTGATGGAAATGGTATTCCTATTTATTTTATTTTTAAATCATAAATGCAAAGAGCTTTAAAGATTTCACTGTAATTGATTTGAAAAGAGTAAAAACATATTTTAATGCAAAAATTAAACATAATTGAAATATTTCTTTTTTGTAGATTTAGTAAGCAGCGGTCACAGACTGTGGAAAAGGTTTATCAATCCGTCGGTGATATTTGGAAATTTTGCTGATACTGGGATCAACAACATTAGGACCAAGAGAAGGTAAATTTATCAAAAATTCGATCTTTCCTTTCATTTTTTACACAAACCATTTCTCTTACTATTTAGCGGTTTTAAGGGAATTCTCAATATTTTCTTGTAGAAACCTGCGTCCAAAAGATATTTTATATTTTACTTTCCTGTAAATATCAGGGGGTCCCAATCACTTTATTTGAAACTAGTTGTTGCTTGCTGATTCGTCGCTTGAAATTAAAAAATAATAAAAAATATTGCCTATGTTAATGATAACGTAGCATTTTAACAGTGCAAGAATTTTTGAAATCGGTCCAGTAGTTTTTGAGTTATTTCAATACATACAAATCTTTCATCTTTGTAATATTAATATAGATAGCTTATATTTGTTATTCCGTGCAGCTCGGAGGACGAGTGCGAGAAGTTGCAGCTGTGCAAGCTGCACGCGCGCTCCCACTACAGCTTCTTTGCAGCTTACGAGCTGTATTTCGTCAAGTAAGTGTTATTTTTTATAGATTTACAAAATTTGTGTATATTGTTTCCTTTTTTTTCACATAATACTAAAGTTACGCTGTCTTGTGCAGCAAAGAGAACGCGCGGCTGTGGGACCACCAGACGCACACGATGGCTGACTGCGAGCGGAGGTTCAGCGGCTGCTATAAATAATCAATTGGCTACTGTTAACTTATTCTATAAGTATTTATTTGAAAATAACTTGTAAGGAATGAATAAAGTATTTTAAATGAGGTTATTATTAAAATAAAATAAAACTATTTAAAACAGTCCACATTTATTTACTCATAACAAAATATAGCAGCTATTTTAAAAAACATTTTCAAACAATTCATTTAAAATAAAGGTAACATGCTTAAATAATTCATTTGATATCTATTATTCATAAATTAAAAAAAAACTGAAAATACATGAAACTGATCAAATTGTAAATACTCTATTTACAATATTGTTACAAAATAATATAAACGGAAGTAGTAGTGGGGGGTAGTTTCATAAAAGTCATTGCAAGGATTGAGGCGCCCTTAGTGGCTTAGTCCGTTGCATTCAGTCGCTCAGTCGTTAACAAACTCTGTAGCTCAGTACATTTCTAGTCTGCGCCGGAACGTTCGATGTCTTTTACGTAGTTGCCTTAGTGTATTCGTTTTATAATAATTCACCAGTATTGCTCATATTACTCGACTATCATATTTTTTTAAAAAGTCATTCGTTACATATTACAATTTATAACAATATTGATTAAAATAAAAATAATGGAAAAAATCCTGTCTTATAATAAAACAACCACACCGCGAAATACTAATAAATTAATGGTTTTCATAAGGTCTTTGTTATAATTTCATATAGTACAATGTAAGAGGAATGTCTAATCATTTCAATATATTTTGTGATTCATAAATAACTTAACGTAACGCCTAAACACCAAGGTTTTACACGATATTCACACGAGGGTAAACTTTCAATCCCATATTACTTCACGTACATTTTATTTCTTTATTGCATTACAATATAAGCGTCACTAACCACTTACTATGAGTTCTATGCCACTCTTACTTTTCACTTTCTATCACATGTTATGAAACCGATGTACTACATTCGGTTTTAATCCTTAATCAAACAAGTTTTCAAATTGAGAGTTTAAGTGAGTTCCGGAACGTAATTTTTTTTTTATAGAAAAAAAAATCTAAAAACCCCTACTCTAGTTGGGATTTTTAGCAGAGGTTGGTACTAATTAGTTACCAGCAAAAATAAATGATAACTACATTTTATGGTAACATCAAATAGGAAATTGCTCTATATTTGATTAAGGATTATTCAAAAACAAAATTCGAAGTATACATTAGATATTTTAGACAGGTTGTTTTGATATTAGTGTGTCTGTGACGTGTGTGTCATG